TCTAGTCTCATAAAATGAGTTAGGAGTGTTCCCTGAATTTCTATTCACTGGAACCATTTGTTAAAGATTGAAATAATCTGTTCTCCTTTGATTTTTTTTTTCTTCTTTTTTTTAATGAAGCTTCTTAGACTGTCAAGTTCAGCAAGCGGCTTATAGATCATCAGGACAAATGTGATGCTTTTACATTAGGAGGCCACCGAGGCTCCCAGGCCTCACAGGACTTGCTAGGGGTCTCGGCTAGTAAGGCACAGAGCCACACGGGAACTGGTTTGAAGTCTAGTGTACCTTGCACCATTACACACAAGCTCTTACAACATGATTAGTTAATAAAAGACTTTTCGGGTACTGAAAATATCTTCTTTGATTTTTACAACTCACTTGTTTTTTTTTTGTTTTTTGTTTTTTTTTAAAGATTTTTATTGGGTAATTGGGGGGATGGGAACAGTGCTGGGGAATCGGGGGAAGGGGAACAGACAAGTTGCTGTCGTTTTGTTCTTCAGTCTAGTTGTGGAGGACGTTGCTTCACTGGCCCAAGTTGGCACCATCATTGCGCTCTTCCCGGGCGAGGCAGATCAGTCGCCGGCTTCTGGACGGCCGCTCACTGCGGCTGCTGGCCGCTCACGCTGGCTGCTGGCTACATACGGTAGCCCATGGCAACCCACTGCCACAGGGGCGGCAGCCTACGCCGTCGCCGGCGACTCTCGGCAGCCCAGCTCCAGGTTGAGCTGTTGTTCAGCATCTTAGCTGTACAGGGCAGTGTCACTGACCCTCATATGTGGGATCCGAACCGGGGCCCTCTGGCATCCCAAGCGAGTTCTTAACCATCGCGCCACTCGGCCGGCCCTACAACTCACTTGTAAAGTGTCTGTGCCTGGTATTTTCTTGGGAGTTTTTTTTAAAAGATATATATATATATATATATATATATATATATATATAAAATATATTTATTTTAATATATATATTTATTTTAGTTTTTAAAATATTTTCATTATAAAGAATGATGGACACATAAAAAAGTAAACAGAATATTATAATTAACTCCGTATGTATCACTACACCCAGTTTCAATAACTCTCAGCCCATGGTTCATCTTCATCATCCTTCACCTCGCCCACTTTCCTAAAGGAAGAGTGTGGCTATTATAGTGAAAAGAAGTTGAAGACATTTCAGTTTATCTGTGACTAACCTTTTTTTTTTATTGTTAGTTTCAGGTGTACAGAACAATGCAATAGTTATCCTTTTCACCCTTTACACAGAAAGTGAATAAACATTTTATGATGTCTCTAAAACAGACTCTTTATAAAAAATACAACTCAATACCAATATCATGCCTTAAAAGAAACAGTTCTTTAATATCTAAGAGCCAGTTGGTTCAAATTTGTAATTATTTAATGCTGTAAAAGGATTTGGTTATATATAAAATATTATATATAAATATTTTAAAATTTATTCATAGATTTATGTATAAATTAATTTGCACGCACAGATTGATTGATTTATTTGTATCAGGATCTAAATAAGGTCCATGTATTTTGATGGTTGAGATGCTTTTCCAAGTGGATAGGGTTTTAAAATCTTGTTAATGATTTCTTATTTGATTGATTATTGATTTCTAGCTTAATTGCTTAATTTCATTGTAGTGATAGAATGTTATCAGTTGCTTTGAAATGTACCAAGGCTTTCTTTATTGGCCTGATACACAGTCGAGTTTTTAAATATTTCATGATTGCTTGAAAATACTGTGTAATTCTCTCATTATTGGTTGTGGGATTCTATATTAGTCTTTTAATTTTAATTTCTCTTTCTCTTTTATTACCCCCTTTTTTTTTCTTGCAGAGACCAGTTTTTTATTTTGTTCTGTGGAGTTTCTCATTTTAGTGCAGTATCTCTGTGGTTTAGTTGAACATATTCTTCGGCTTTTATGAATCTCTATTTCCATAAATTGACAGTTGGATTTAGACAGTTGATTAGATTCATATTTCATTTTCTTTTTCCAAGGCTGTTCATTGGTGTGATGTGTTGCTTCATCATGAGGCTCATAATAATTGTCTTCTTTTTGTGATATTAGTAGCCATTGATGTTCAGTGCCTAGATTCCTTAGTTTATTAAAGATTTAAAATGAGGATGTTCTAGTTCTATTATTCTTCACTTACCAGCTAGACTACTTCTACAAGGAGAAACTTAACCTTTATTCTTATTGATATGCAAATTCTTACATCTTTGGCCAGTGGGCACAGGACCTTTGGGCACAGCTCTAGTAGTCTTTGGTAGCTTTCTTCATATCTGGATGAGAAGATATTCCAAGCTCATCCTGTGTATTTCTAGCCCCAGACCTGTACCTGGCCATTTCTCCAAGGAGCCTTGATTTCTTATAGTGGGAAATGGTATTTGGACATAATAATCTGGGTACTAGAAGTGTGTATTGCTACAGAATTGGTTATTCTAAACTTTTCAGCGGATAGAAAATTTATGTGTTTGTGAGTGTGTGTGTTTTTATTAAGATGAGATACATCATGAGTTTAAACTGATACTTCCAATTCAAATTGAAAACCGTAAGGATAATTTTTTCACTCTCACATCTTCCTTCCCAAGAATGCTGTTTTCTCAAGGACATCAGGGATGGGAGAATTAGAATCTGTCATATTAATCATTTGCTTTCTTCTTCAAGTGATCTCAGAATAGCAATACTAAAACTACCAGTAGCAGTATGATTACTGAAAGTGGAAAGGATCTAGTGATTCACTTCACTTTATTGGTCATAAGTGTCTGTTTTTTCTCATGTCAGTTTTGATAAATTACTTTTTTATAGCAATTTGTCCATTCTAGATTTGCATAGTTATTAGAACAAAATTGTCCTGTGTGTCTGTCTTTTAAAATACTGCTGTCAGTGTAGCCCTGTTCTTTTCATACTTATTATTATTTATTTGTGCCTTTCTTTTCTTCTTGCTTTATCTTATTAGATATTTGTTGACTTCATTTTTGTCTTCATTTTGTGTTTCATTTTGACTTCATTTTGTGTTTCAAGGAACACTTTTGGCTTTATTAATTTCTCGCCTCTTCTATTTTCTTTCAATTTATTCTGTGCTTCCCCCCAGATTCTTACAGGTAGGTCACTTAGCTCATTATTCACCAGCCTTTCTTTCCTAATATAGACATCTAAGGCACTTAATTTCCACTTAATGTATTGTTATCAATAACAGTTTGTTATAAACTCTTAATGATGATAGGATCATTTTTTCCTGACAGTTTTATGAACTTTTGGTACCGTGTTCTTGGTATCTTCCTAAGAGGATACCCTCCCAGTCCTCCCTTTAGCAAAGCAGTTTGTAGTCTTGGTAATTTGCCTTCATTTGTTGTTTCCATTGTAACTTTATATATAGTACAGATGTGCCTGTTTTTGCGTTTTGGGTATGTTTCTGAATTATTCTTTCCTTCTTTCTTTCTCTGGTAGTTCTTCTGCAAGTTCCCTGTATGTTTTTGTTTTCTCTTTCTTTTGTCATTAGGTGTTCTTCGCCACAGTCATGCCACATGATAGTCACCCCTGTCACCATTCTTCTGTGGTGTCTGTCTGGTCTTTATTTTCAGTCTAGTTGGTTTCTCTGTGACCTCAGCCCTCTGAAGAATTCCAGAAAAGTTATAATTTTGTAGATTATTTGACCTTGTTTAGGATGGGAGTGGTGCTCTTACTAGCTGGAGACATTTTTCTTACCAAGTTTTTTTTTTTGTAAATTTAAATTCATGTATTATTTTTTGCGTTAACACTACCATTTGAATACTTTTCTCCCACATATTTTTTATATTCATGTATATCATCATTGACATTTTACGTAGCTCTATAATGCTCTCTTAGATGATTCTATAATTAGTATTTGAAATCTTTTAAAGTTTAGAGTTAAATTATCATGTTAATATGTAAGTTTCAAGTTTATGAGTTCTCTTATCTTTTCCCCAATTTATAGTTCTGATTTTCAAACTAAATTTTAGTGTATGTTATCCTGAGTTTTATCTACTATTACAGGACATGTTTTGTTAATATATAATCAAAGGAACAGTAGAGACATTTTTTTCTTAAATTTTTTTTTTTTTTAATATTTTTTATTGGAAAACAGCCATGGTCATTGGTTACACATTGCTTTCATGCTACAATGGCATAGTTGACTCTTTTAAGGAGGGCACAGCTCACAGTGGCCCTTGCGGGGAATCTAACCGGCAACCGTGGTATCAGCACACTAACCAACTGAGCTAACCCTAGAGAAGCTTTTAAAGTGTATAATTATTGTTATATTCATCAAGTTTGATTTTTATTTTTTAGGAGCTTTTTTTTTTTTTTTTTTTTTTTTAGATTGGGGAACAGTGTGTTTTTGCAGGACCCATCAGCGCTCCAAGTCAAGTAGTTGTTTCATTCTAGTTGTGGAGGGTGCAGCTCAGTGGCACATGTGGAGATCGAACCAGTAACCTTGGTGTTATGAGCACTGCGCTCTAACCAACTGAGCTAACCGGCTGCTCCCTTAGGAGCTTTTAACAAATTATAATAATATAAATTTATTATATCCTTATTACAGAGTGTAATACAAAGAGCACAATAAAATGTATAATTTTTGATTGCCAGGTTTATTATTCATTTTTGCTTACTATTTTAGTGTACCTAGCTAATTCTAAGACCATATAAAAACTCTTTGTTGAATACATCATTGTATTAAAGGAATTGATTTTTATTACCAAGAAATCATTAATATTGATAACAATTTGAAAATATTTCAACTGAGCTGCTAGTGTCCCTTGTCTATTAAGATGTGTTATTATAAATGGTTTATGATAGCTTATTTCTTAGCAGTTATCCACAATTTATTGAATTGATTTTAAATGTTGTATTAAATGATAATATATCATCATGTTGGAAAGAATGTTGCATAATTTAACCTAATTTTACCTCCTCGTTACTTTCATGGACATAAAAAGTGGCTTACTAAATGTTTCTTTTCTTTTTACCTTTATAGGTTATTTTAGTGTCTGCCAATAAGTTGACTCGTTATATAGAACCATGCCAGTTAACAGAAGATTTTGGTGGAAGTCTCACCTATGATCACATGGACTGGTTAAATAAGAGGCTGGTTGGTATATTACAATGAGATAAAATGTTATTACATATGAATAAGATACATTTTGATAACTTTATAATTTTAATCAACTAAAATGTAGTTTTCTTTTTTACAAAAGTTAAGCAATGCTGTGTGTACCGTATGATAGCATAATGCTTGCAGGCAAATACTTTGGAGCCAGATTCACAATTGCTACCTATTACTATTGTTATTAGTAGCACTATTACTAGTCAAAGTTGTCATTCTTTTTAAGTAGAGTAACAGAGAACCGTAATTTCCTGAGAGGTAATCGAGTTGACATATCATTTTCAGAGAGAATGTTTAAACATCAGTTTGAATTGAAGAACACTTTGGCAGGTTATGGGTTTCATTTATGAAAATTTATCTTGTTTGTCAGGTCAGACTTCTGAAATCTGCTCTGCGTAATGCAGCATTGTTTAATCAAACTGCTGAGGACTGAAAACAAATTTCAGATTAACTGAGTTTATATTATGTGGATTTTGTTGAAGAATACTGAACTTTTGGATATTTCAGACTGGAAAACCAATTTTATTTCCATCATATCTGAACAACAATATCAGATGAATGAATGTCTACTGTATTTTAAATGGATTCGTCCAATTCCCTTTTTAGAAATATCTTAAGAACTCATGTTAAAATTTTGACTAATTTATTTTTATGCTACATTTTGGTGTGTAAAATCCTTTAACCATTACATGCAACCAGTATGGACTGGTAATAGAATAACATGAAGAAATGTCCTATAGCTGGAATTAGATAGTTAAAACTGATCTAAATAATGGTCGTGTAGTCAAAACTGTTATTGATGCAGATGTTTCTCAAGAAAACATAGGAATAAAAATAAACTTGTTCATTGAGGAATAAAAATCATTTCTTAATGTATATAAATTAAAAAAATTTCTTCTCCATTGAAACTATTCATTGTTTTAGGAAGCAGTTTGTCTTCTCTCCTGATGGTTGACTTGTACTAAGTGACACTGGCTAATTCTGTTGCTGTGAACTGAAAATTATTTTGTGTGTATTAACTTTTAAGATTATTCTTAACATGTTAATAAAATCTTATATTGTAGGTTTTTGAGAAGTTTACAAAGGAATCGACTTCATTATTAGATGAACTTGCTTTGATTAACAATGGAAGTGATAAAGGAAATCAACCAGAGAAAGAAAGGTAGGTGGCCAGTGTCCTGAAATTATAACCTTGCAAAGCTATGATTAATCTGATAAAAGATACCTCTGTTGTTAATGCAAGCTAAAAGAACTAAGGTAAACAAGTTCCCATTCAATAAAAATTGACATACAAAAGTTGAATTAAATTTATTTTTTCAATTGTGAGAATTCATTTTACATGTAAAATTTACTGATTTGAATCAGTTTCTTTACAAAAGTTTTGATGAATAGTAATATATTTACCTTTTTCTGACACTGTAAAATACTCATTTGCAAGGACATGTTTTCAAAATTAAATAGTTTTCTACCTTTTTAGAGTACTACTTTGCTTGTAAAGAATAGGAAAAAGGTTGCAACATAAAATAAAATGTTCTAACCTTGTTTAAATACATTAGCACTTAAATGCCTAGCTTGTAGAACTCCTAAGTCCTTGTAAAATATGTGATATTCATGAGTTCAGCTTGGGGAATTTAGTGTTTTATAACACTTGATGAAATAATTGTTCAATTGTATTATCTAAATGTGCCTACCTAGATGAATTACTTTAACAGATTTCCATGGAACTTTACAACCTTAATAATTTTCATTTTCCTATTGGTAGGCCAAGTCCCTCTCCCCAGTTAAAAAGCACTTCAGGACACAAATTAACTCCTTCTGATCTCTCAATAGCAAAGAGGTCACTAGAACAGTAATTAGGAAATTTAAAAGAATCAACACTCATTCCTTGTCTATCTCTTTTGAATCTGACCTTAAAAATATAGTGCTGCCTTGATACTCGTCATCTTGTTAGTCCATGAACCCCAGTGTTTCACATACCATTAACCGAGAAATAAGGCAAGAGGACCTTGACTAAAACAAAGTGAAAAATGTGAAAACAAATGGTTTGAATGTAAATGTAGTTAAAATTACAATAAATATGTAGAAACATTACTATCCTATAGATGCATTATAAAAAGGTAAAATGTAAAAATTTTACACATATGTAAATATGTGAGTGTGTGTGTTATGTGGATTCATGTGTGCATACGCACACACACACACGCTATGGCTTAGGTATTAAAAATGTCATACAAGTTACTTGACAAAGATTAACTGAACCACTTGCTTTGAGTAGTCCAGCAGAGTAACTAAGATGTTTCTTAAAGTCCCGTTCCTCAGGGAAGACATGCTAAGAGGATGTCTGTAGAAAATGAGTTTATGGTCATAGGTTTAAATGTTGTTTACTATGTTTCCTCTCTGAGAATGACTGTAGACATTTATAGATTATAGGTTCTGAGAAAGCATTGCAGTAAAGAAACCTGTTTAATTGCTTCCTTGAACTTACTGTATTTGCACGACTATATGAAGTACTAAATCGAATCTCATATTTGCCAGTCCCTTCCCAAGGAACTCAGATGTTATTGCTTAGTCTCTAAAACCTCAGATAGCAAAGTCCCTCTTCGTGCAAATTTTCATCACCTTCATTATGTCAGCCCTCAGGAAGTATCTAGGGGAAGGCCCAGATCAGACAACAAAAGTGAAAGATTTAGAGCAAAACTTCTCAGTTACAGCAGCGAGGTCCTAGGCTTTGACTTGTCATGTTCCCTATCTCTGCTTCATCTTGTCCTTCCCAAATGTGTTTAAGAAAATAAAGCCATAGTTCAACTCAAATAAAACATAATTAGTACAGGGAAGAACCTACAACTGCTAAGGACAAATACACACACACACACACACACACACACACACACACACGAATATTTACAGCTCACAAAGGCTGCTGTAGATGAGTGAAATTTTGATTGGAGGATGGCTGCATGCATTTTTAACGTTAACATTTCTGGGTTATTATATAGTTACAAATTTCATTTTGAAATAAATATCCAGTAAAAAATAGTAGAATGGGTTCCTTTGACATATTTGAAATAATGCCATAATTAATAATAATAAACTGTATATTTTCAAGTATATTTTGTGATTTATTACATAGATATCTCTTTGGGTACTAATACTTAAATAAGTATTAAAGTATATCTCTAATGGGCATCCTAATGCTTAAGAGAAATTAGCTTGGTAGAACAGTCTTTCATATTTTCATACTTGTGTGCCCCTGTTTTAATATGTGTATATAAAGATTTTCTTAAGTTATTAGTATATGAATAGAAATGCAGCTTTTAATAATTACTCTTTGGTACTCACCAGGTCTGTGGATTTAAACTTTCTTCCATCAGTTGATCCTGAAACAGTCCTTCAAACAGGTAAGATTAAAAACATATTTATCAGTAATAATTATAATCCAATAAACCAGTCATGTTGATTGATTCATAAAAAACTTTGGTTCATAAAAAAACATTGATTGAGCCTGTATAGCAGGTCTTGGAATAACATTGTTTTGTTCAACGTCATTTTGATGAGATGCCGTGGGAACTTAACTGTTATTTATATCAATTAGCCTATGGTAAAATTGGTTTCATTATATGTCATTTTGCTTAAAGTTGCAGAACCTATTGATAGCATTAAGTGAGGACTTAACTGTGTTATGTGGTAGAAACTCTAAGGGAAATTTTTCAAACTGCTTTTCAGTTTAGATTAAGTGTGTTAATATACCTTAACAATATTTAAAAATATTAATAGTGATAGTTAAATTATCTCCCTTGAAATATTTGGATTTATTTCTTTATCTGTGAAATGAAGATAAAAATTTCTATTTTATTGGGTTGCTATGAGGATTATTGAATCCTTATTGTATTCTAGCATTGTATTTTTATGTATTTTAATATTTCATTCTATTAACAACCCCTTGAGATAATCAGTGTTATTTTCTCTATTTTGTACTTGAGGAAGCCAAAGCTTATATGTATGTACATATAAACTTGCTCAAGATCAGTAACTATTAAGTTTTATCACCATACCACTAAAGACAGATCTAAATCTAGAGCCACCAGCTGTGCTGTTTTATAATCATCTATGTGAACACAGTTAGCCCCTTGCAGTGGCCTCTCACATAGCATGTTCAGTGCTGCATGGTATGTGTGTTCCAGCCCAAATGTCTCCAGTAGTGGTTTCGTAAATTCTAGCAGAACCCATTGGAATTATTTAAATGGAAATACTTTCATTTTATTTCTAATGTATTTTTCTAATAGCTCATAATTCTAATCCTACTGTGTATTATGTACTATTCTAAACACTTTACATATGTTAACTCATTTATCCTTTACCACAACCCAGTGAAGTGTGGGTACTATTACATCCTAATTTTAAGACGCATAAACTGAGACATGAAAAAGTTAAGTAACCTATGTGGGTTACACAACTAGTAATGCTAGAGTTGGGACTTAGACTAAGGCACTTTGGTTTCAGCGTATGGTTTTTGAAATCATGTGGTGCTGCTTCTCTAATGGAAATGCTATCCACAAAGGAAGCATTAAGGGTAACAAGTGTTAAAGTAGAAAAAGTAAATGCATTCTGATCTTAATGGCTTTCATGAATTTCATGTACGTGTAAATATATTAAAATATGTGTTTATATATAAATAGACTACACTTTGAATAAGTGTTTTAAATTGTTGTCCTCCCAGTTGTAAAATGTAATGAAGACTAAAGAAATAAATTCTGAATATCTTTGCTGTATTGATTCACTTGTCCTAAGTTTTTTAAGTATGATACAGGTCTTATTTTTTTAGAAAACAACAGAATAGTTGTAATCTCTGAATGTTTAGAAGGTACAGTAGACTGCCAGTAAAAATATTGCTCTAGATTTAAAACTTAATTCCATGTTTATATTTAGCATTTTGAAACCTGCTTAAGCCATTGAATTAAGAATTTTTAAATTTCCATTTTTACATTAAATTTATATGCCACTAAGTCCTTTTTATATGCTATTGACTCTTAAAGTAGGGATCAAAAGAAAATAAAATGGAGAGCTTTTGAACAATCTTCGATATTTTTTAGAAATTGAAAATACTTCCAAATCATTATAAAAGTTCTGTTTCTATATATTGAAAGCCATTTAAATATAGGACATTTTCCTAAATAAAGATGGAGAAGATAATTTAAATGTCTGCATATTTTTGGTCCCTAAATAATAATTTGAATAGTATTATCCTGGAAAAACAATTTGTAATTTATTTACTTTTAAAATTGTTAGTATACTTAACAGCTTTAGATGCTGTACATGCTGCTATTTTAATTTCTTATGCATGAGTGATTCATATAGTTGATATGTTGTAGAGATTCCTATAGAGATTGATGAGACAAATAGAGTTAACGGGAGTGGGCTTGTGAACTGGCAAGATGGGACAGGCAAAGAGTTAACAGGAGCAAGCTTGTGGACTAAGAGGAGCGAGGTTAAACATTAACCGCTTGGCTCTGACTCCCCTGACCAGCACTGCACCTGCAGGCTGACAGTCACCTTACATCCATCATAAGTGGGAACAAAATAGTTTCCAATCCCAACGGCAACCCCCTGCAAATTAAGAAACACCCATCACAGATGGGAACAGAATGGTTCCCAATCACAACAGCAACCCCCTGCAAGCTGACATCCATCATAAATGAGAACAGGACAGTTCTCAGGAGCAGACAATTGTAATGGCAGCCCCCCTGCAAGCTGACAAGCACCTTACATCCTGCATGGAGAAATATTAAACCCCAGCACTCATCGGTGCAGCTGTCCCCCATCGGACTCTGCCCTGGCCCAACTCCTGCCAGTATCTCTCTCTCTTACCCCTCTATCTCCACAGCTCTCCCTCTCAGACTGCCTTGGCAAAACTTCTCCCAGCTCCAAACAGAGCTGTCTCTCTCTTTTTTGCTTTCAATAAACCTTTTCTCTGGATACTCTTGTAGAGCTCGTAAATTCTCTTACATTCTGCAAATGAACAGGGGTTAATTCTACACCAATAGAGATTATTTAATTTTTTTTTGTACCATTAATAAAGATTTTCTACCTTTATTTTGATCATACATGTGTTACACCATCAACTTTTCTTTTATATGCTGTAATTAAGGTATGGATTAACACTGAAATCCTACAACATATTGATTAGATACATCAGACAGAAATTCCAGAGTGTAATTGTGCGATACAGGGAAAGGGGATCACTTGGCACAGTATCCTGAGTAATGAATCCACCAATAAGAAGAATGTGATAGGTAGATAGATATAATATATACATGTGCCATATATATTTCCTGTATAGTATAGCATATTTATTAATAGTATATATATATATATATGTGTGTATATATATATATACACATATTTATGATATATGATATAGCATATATACTGGATGCATATTTTTGTTTCTTTCTATATAAATTTAAAAATTGCATTTCAGTACTTATTGACCAGGTAGGTAGGTAGGTAAGTAGACATATAGGTTGATACAGGTTTTAAACATAAGGGACTAGAATTGAGAAGTTTGAGAAGTAAAAATTACATTTGTTTAAAGGTGTTAATTATAAGTATTTTTCATTCGTCAAGGGCATGAATTGTTATCCGAATTACAGCAGCGTCGATTTAATGGCTCAGACGGAGGGGTCTCATGGTCTCCTATGGATGATGAGCTGCTTGCACAGCCACAGGTTATGAAATTACTAGATTCACTGCGAGAGCAATATACCCGTTACCAGGAAGTTTGTAGGCAACGCAGTAAGCGTACACAGTTAGAAGAGATCCAGCAGAAGGTGATGCAGGTAAGTGTCTGATTTGAATATATTTAACTTTTTAAAATTAGAATGTTGGTTTTTTTTTTTAATAGTTTTTACTCTGTGACTGTATACTAAGCCTTATTTATATTATATAGAGAACCTTAGACATATCAAACCAGACTCTAAAACTTTTCAATTACGTATATTTTTACAAGTAGTATTTGCATTAAGATTATATTTTTTCTACAGTGATGACATTGAGCATTCAGCTCACTGTATTAGAATGAACTTCAAAATAACTAGTTGTTGTAAGCATCATCTGTGGTCTCTGTATCCATATAATAAATAGTGTTTTATTATTGTTATTTCATTTATTTTTAATAACTTGCTAGTTTTTTTTGTTAATTTAGGCATTATTAAGAGTTTTCTATGCTAGCAAAATGATAAAATATAAGTAATTATAATATTAAATTGTATTTTATGAAACTGATAGAAAGCTTTAAATGTATTTAGTATATGATTTTTAGTTCCTTTTACAGTTGATTTTCATAAGAAAAGTAGGCTAAAATACTAAAAATCAATACTAAGGAAGACATTTCTGTTATTTACACTACATTCTGGATTTTCGTCTATTGAATTATTAAGAAATAAATCTTAAAATATTTTACTTAAAACCTAGATTAGAACTGTTTTTATTAGATTAATTAATTCATTAGATAAGCACTTATTGAGTGCTTATTATGTAGAAGACATTGTGCTAGGTTTCATATAGGGTATAAAGGTAGACTTGGCTTTCGCTATCATTAAACTTCGGAGGAGAGAGTAGTAAGTATCACAGGACATAACTGAAGTGACGTGGGCGTTTATAGGAGGAATTATTCCTCTGGTTGAAGGCATTCTAGGAAGTTTTAGTAGTGGAAGAGGTAGCACTTCAGTTTATCCTCCAGAGTGGATAAGATTTCACAGCCACCTCCTTTAGGTTATAAAGGAGGATTGGCATTTTGTGGAGGAGAAAGAACAGCATGAATAAACAAACAATAGCAGCATGAAATCCGAAGCTCTGTTGAAGAAAAAGAAAGCAGTAAGGCACCATGGGACATTTTTTACCTTTGAGTCATGGAGCAGCATGGGCAGGGAGCATGATATGAATCCCAGCTGGTCCACTTATTTGCTCTGTGATCATGGTCACATTATTCACCCACCTGAGCCTCATTCTGACTTTTTTCTTTAGTCCCTTCTCATTAACTAAAACAGGACTAACAAGACCACTTTTGAAAGGTTTGTTGAAAGGACTCAGCACTCGATTAATGGTAGCTCTTACTTCCATTGAACTAGACTCTAGTCTAGAAGTCTGTTTCAGTTGTTGCCATACTTTTTCTGTAAAGAGCCAAATAGTAAATGTTTAGGTTTCCTGGACTATACAGTTTTCGTGCAGTTATGGCTATTTAATCTGCCATTGTAATGCATAGACATTGTGTAAATAAGTGTGTGTGTGTGTGTGTGTGTGTGTGTGTGTGTGTGTGTGTGTGTGTGGCTGTGCTCCAATAAAGTTTAATTTATAAAAACAAGTGGTAGGCCACAGTTAGCCTACAGGAGTTTGCTGACCTCTGACCAGAGCATCAGGATGTCATGGGGGAAAAGGCTTGAAAGGAAGGAAGGAGCTGGATCATGGAAGATCTTGAATTCCAGGCAAAAGGATTTAGGCTTTATCTCATAATAACCATGTATAAGCTGAAGATTTTTGAGCACACATTAATTATATGTAACTTTTTCTTAAGTAATTATTAAGTTAAATATAGCTTGTATTCAACCCAGGGAAGCTTTAGGCAAGTAGCTTTAGAGTACAGTAGTCCCCCCTTAACCTCGAGGGATGTGTTCCAGGGACCCCCATGGATGCCTGAAATCATGAATAGTATCGAACCCTATATACAGTTTTTTTCTATTTGTACATACTTTTTCACTTAAAGGACACACTTTATGACTTCTCCTTGGTATATCCAAATAGCCAGCATCACTCTTATACCCTGGGGCCATTATTAAGTAAAATAAGTGTTACTTGAACACAGGCACTGCAGAGTCAGTCTCATAACCAACAAGGCTTCTGAGTGACTGGTGGGTGGCTAATGTATGCAGTCTGGACATGCTGGACAGAGGAATGATTCACGTCCTGGTTGGGGCACAGTAGGACTGCACAAGACTTCATCACACTACTCAAAACAGCACACAAAAACGTATGAATCATTTATTTTTTGAATTTTTCATTTAAAATTTTTTGACTGCTGTTGACCATGGGTAACCGAAACTGCAGATAAGTGGGGGCCTACTATATATTTGAAAACTGTAATGATGTAATAGCATAGTGATATAGAAGTCACCCAGGTAATCTAAGCTCACCCTCTTCTACCATTTCTAAGTTGTTTGACATTGGGAATAAACTGTAACTTCTCAATGCCCTAGCTTCCTCCTCAGTAAACTGAGAATAATAACAACAACAATAATAATACCTACTTGGGCTATCACAGGATTAAAGAAGATAATTTCTATAAAATGTTTCATGTTTGGTGCATAATGAGTTTTCTATTATCTTATTTGCTCACTCATTCAAAAAATGAATGTCTACATTAGTGTGACATTATGCTAGGTGGAATATAACGGTGAGTAAAATGAGAAAGTTACCACCTTTATGGTACATAATTACATAATAGCACAAACAGTTGTAAAACTGCAACCATACCAAGACCCAAGAATGAGAGTGGTGGGAGTAAGTGTAAAAAAGAAAATATCAGAGTTGAATCATTTTTCTGGCTTGCAAGACTTGATGGGTAGTGGTGTTTTTCAATTATGAAACACTGGACAAGGTTTGGTTTAAATGTGCGTGGAAAAGGATGTGGAGAATCATAAGTTTGGGTTGAATTTGAGGTTACTTTGAGACATCTAAGAGAAGACATAGAAGAGTAATCCCGAACAGGTCCAGAAATCAGAGAAATCCAGGCTGGTGACGTATTTATTTGTCATCTGTGTATAAATGGTAATTAGAGGCATTGATGTGGTTGAGAATTACCCAAGGAAGGAGCTGAGACTACAGGAGAAGTGGGCCTGTTAACTGAGCATTGAGAAACTACAGCATTTAATGACAAGATAGAAGAGCGTACTCCTGAACGAAGGTAATGAAGGATTGCAAAGAGTTCTGTGTCATGGAAGCCAAGGGAAGAAAGCATTTCAGGGAAGGAGCTGGGAACACTGTCAAAAGCTGCTGAACGATTGAATAAGAGTAAGATTTAACATGTCTGTTAGGACGCGTTCCTCCGAGGTCATCGGTGAATCCAGCCCATGGAGCGGCAGGGCCAGAAGCACACTGGTGTGAATCCAGGAATGAGGTCGAGGTGCTGGGAAGGAGACACTGAGTACAGACGACTGAAGGAAAGATGAGCAATAGAGCAGTGCCTAGAAGTGGTAGGAGAGGGGTTGTATTAGTGTGCTAGGGCTGCTATAACGAAGCGCTACAGACGAGAAAGCAGAAATAGTTTCTCACCGTTCTGGAGGTTAAAAAGCCCAAGATCCAGGTGTTGACAGGGTTGGCTCCTTCTGAGGGCAGTGTGGGAAGGGTCAGTTCCAGGCCTCCCTCCTTAGCTTATTGGTGCTCATCTTCTCCCTGTGTCTTCACATCATCTTCCCTCTGGACCTGTGTCCAAATTGCCTCTCCCCTTAAGGGCTGTGGTCATATTAAATTAGGGCCCACGCTAATAACTTCATTTTAATCTAATTGCCTCTTTAAAGATTGTATCTTTAAATAAATAGGGTTACATCCTGAAGTACGGAGGGTTAGAACTTCGATGTAGGGATTTGGTGGTGGTGGCGCACAACTCAGCCCACAACAGGGGTCAAGTGTAGTGTTGTTGTTGTTGTTGTTGTTGTTTTAATATGAAAACTTTAAGAGGTTTAAAGATACTGGGATGTATCTATTTGGAGGGAGGGGTTGAATATACGAAAGAGAAAGAACAATTAACATTATTAAGTTCCTGACAAGGTGGATGTGAATGGACTCTAAAAGCACAATTGAAGAGGCAACTTTAAAATGAAAAAGGGAGAACTCCCCCATTGTAACAGGAGGAAGGATGGGTAGGATGAATGCAGAGGTGTGTCCATGTATAAATCAGTCATTAGGAAGATGAAAGAGTTCCTGTGCAATGTGTTCTCTTTTTTATAAAATAGGAGACAAAGGTTATCCTCTTGGTGGTGCAGGTTTGGAGGAGAGGCAGGGGGTAGCATTCAAGAGGAATAGAGGTTTCAATGGAGTGGAGAGGATTCAGGATTTTCTTTGTGGGGATTAGGAGAGTGAAATTACCTCAGAAATGTAGGTAGTGTTTATTGATCTTGACTTTATGGTGGAACTTTTCTGGCCTATTATATGATGCTACCAATTCGTGGCTGGCCATTGAGCTGCAGTGCAGAGAACACATGTGATGATGGGAGTCATCCAGCATTCGTGCTTTGCTGCATACAATCAGCCAGTAGGATAAAAAGACAGGGGGGCAAAGGAGTTAACGTATTGGCAAATGTGTTTTTGAAATGATGGGCCAGCTTAATTGGATAAAGTAGAAAGAAACTAGAGAAGGGAGATGATGATATTTATAATGATGATGGTAATGAGATTATTGCTAAAAACAAACATCATTGCAGCTCAGTTTTCTTTATGAGCATTACATGTGAATTGGTTAGAACATTAATATTCATCCTGTAATGGTGCCTGCACTCTGTTTTTCACAGGTCACGTTTTAGGGAAAGATTGATTTCCCTTGCTAAAACAACTTAAATTTAGCTACGTAGTAGCATATATTGATCATGTCAGCACCCGCAGGGCATAAACTATACTGCCTTCAGTGTCGCAGATTTGAGGAAAAATTAAAAAATTCTTTATATAAAGATAATCATAAAATTGACTGTCTCTAAGTTAAATTAGTGAAAATTGAATCTTTCCAAATTTCTTTTTTTACTGACTTATCACTGAAAACATAAGAAAAGAGAAATTATTATAATAGGTCTCT